AATGTTTATATTCATCTCTTTATCATTATTCTATACAAATGATATTAGGGTACAATATTTTCCAATGAATAACTATTCATCTAATGGATCAGTCGATTACTTAAACTATAAGACATTAGGTTAGTTATAAATTATGTATGCTATTTTTACTGATGTTCACATCATAATATTTTTAAATACAAGTATACAAGTACGTAAGTAATTTGCCTAGATTGATATATTATCTATCTTATTAATAGTAATAATCTGTTAATCATGTTCCACTGAAGTTCTTATATCACGAACTGACTTCAATTAGGAAATCCTTAACAATTAGGAAATACTGGAAATTTATCCTGTCTCGGTGGTATCTATCTACGATTTCATTAGAGTTTGAGTCTAAAACCTTCAAGCCTTATGGAAAACGCTTCAGCTTTAGTTATCTGAATTATAATCCTATTGTTTTTATTCTTCATTTAATCGAGCGTGACTTTTGTTTAATGCTATAAATCAGTAACTATTTCACTCCGGATATAGTTAAATCCCTTCAATCGTTCTTCACTATAATTCCAGGAATCACCTCTTAAAATTGGACACTAGTAAGTAGATGACAGTTTTGATTATAGAGTATTATAGAGATTATCGATTTCAAAGCCTTAGGTTTTATCGTCGGGACAGTCGTGAGTATGCACTACTGTGAAGCTCAATATTATGACCAGATAAATTTCCAGTCCTTCCTGGTTTTCAACGACTGTCTAACCAAAATTAGTCCGCGATATGGACATTCAAATCCATCAATCTCCGCAACACCCTATAACAATAGTATATTGAAACGATAATGGAAAAAATCATAATGTTTTGTATGAATTAAAAGCCTCAAAAGTAATTTCTATTTCGAATTTAAAAACTAGCTGCAGGACTATTTAAAATCCCTAAGAGTATTAGATCAACTTTCGGTTCTAGTAAACAACCATAATTTGTGAAGAGTACGTTAGTTGTACAGTTTGTATCATGATTAAATTATATCCCTAGGCGTTTGAAGTTGAGAAGTGCGAAATACTGAATTGCAAATCTGTGGTTCATCAATGTTTTCTTAATTGCTATGACTCTGTGCTATGTAACCAATGGGCATTAGCGAAACAGTTGTTAACTAGAAAAAAATCTCCACAAAACCCATTCTGATATTAATCAACTGCTCACTAGTGACTGACTTCAGGAGATACTTCTGGAGTTCTAGTGAGAAGCCGTTACCAGTGGAGTTCAACCAGGTCTGTCGTGAGATGTCAACTCACTGAAGAAAATGGTGTACGGTGGCGCAACTTCGTGGATTGGTTGAAGTTCGACATTAACACCGTTGGATGCCGGCCGGCTCAGTGGTCTAGTGGTTAAATGCTCGCGTGCAAAACCAGTAGGTCCTGGGTTCGAATCCCGCGTGGGTGCGCACTGCTGGGGAGTCTCGTACTAGGACGAAACGGCCGTCCAGTGCTTCCACGTTTTCCATGGTGGTCTAGCTTCAATTGACTCATGGTTTCAACCTATTAAAAAAATATCTGCCTGGTTCTCACTAGTTTTCAACTACCCTACTGATGATTACAGTTCACAATGAAAGTAATTTCCAACTTAGAAGAACTCGATAAACTTCTTAGTAAAATAATATTTGGTGTTACAATCTTTTGTTCGAGCAGTTGGTTATCGGTATATTTTTGTTTCTAACTTAATATCTCCTTTTTTTGGTGTACTTTAATTCGAATTATCTGTGTATCAAAATGCTATATGCTCTAAATTATTTAATATAGCTTGTTAGTTTATCTAATGCATAAATTCTGCTATTCCATAATACTCTGTATCTATTTATTGTATAGTAACAATAATAACAATGCTGTCTTGAAAATGGGTTATGTATATCGATTGTACGGGATGATCTAACAATTTCTTAAGTAATTAATATAAGTATTTATGTTAGATGGTCGTAGTTAATCGGCAGAAAATCCTCGACATAGTTTTGGTGTTAATTGGAAGTTGTCAGCAGGAGGTATATACAATTGTGGCAGAAATAATGCTCATTATAATCTGATCAACTAATCATCAATCTTAGTTTATCTCCTCATAGACTTACTCTAACTCACTGTTACATTAGTCAGTATCAAGATTCAAGGTAGACAATATTGGAGAACGGAGAACACGTGTTTCATATACCTCAGCCTATGAAGATTCACAGCTTCACCAACCGACTTACCATCTTTTCTTAGTTCTCTCCATCTAACCTTGCCATTATTTACATATTGAGACTGCATAGAAAAACAACAAGATCTCTTTCAGAGTTTAATTTCTCTGTCTTATATTCCCATCGTAAATGTCAACACTGTTAACAATATCTCAACAAATCCATTAGTTTAAATCATCTGTCCTATACATTACTGTAAAATTTACTGAATTTTGTAAAATAAACTAGTATAATCTTATGTTTGTTACAGTCGTCATTTTCTGTCATATCAGAAGGGTTTTTGTGGATATTATAGTGATTTCAATGGTTGAGATCATGAGTTAATTGAAGCTAGACCATCATGAAAAACCTGGAAGCACTGGACGGCCGTTTCGTCCTATTGTGGGACACCTCAGCGGCGCGCATTCACGATCCCACCTCGCGAGATTCGAACCCAAGACCTATCTGTCTCGTATGCGAACGCTTAACCACTAGACCACTGAGCCGGCCGGCATCCAGTGGTGTTAATGTCTAACTTCAACCAATCCACGAAATTGATCTGCACATTCACCATTGTCATCAGTGAGTTACTATCTCACAACAGACACAGTTAAACTCTACTGATCACTGCTTCTCACTAGAACTCCAGGAAATACCTTTTTGTTCATCACTGTCTATCATCTATATATTTCAATTACAAAGTTCTATTCTTTTACGCATTTTTCAAATATTTCGTATCTTAAACTGTATTTTACAGTCTTAATAATCCTTCCTAATTAACCATTATCATCCAAGACATCTTTTACAAAACTACCTTGATTGATTGAATGCTTTTTTTCTTCATGTATCGAAGTATTTCTATATATTAGAGTAAAATTTACTGAAGATCTGATTGAAAACTGTTATAACTTGTGGGTTTGTGCCCTTATCAATGTATAACGTAATAATACTGTCAATCAGAGAACAGTGAATTATCGACCGGACCAATGACGACGCATAAAACAAGTATGAGCAGTCTAGAGTCTTTATCGGTTGTACTTCCTGCTTGTTAAGTCCAGAACACTAATCTCAGCCTCTGGAATATGAATCATTTAGTTCAAAGATACGGGGTTTATATACCAATCAAACAGACCACATCGTACCATAAAATAGGATACAACATTTGTACAAGAATTAGCCAAATGTGGTTGTGAATAAGGGAGATAGTAATTGATAGACAGGATATAACTCAAGAATGCTAAATCGTATCATAATACTTCATAGGTCAAAATAAATCTTACAATAAGAGGAATATGAATATGCATAGTTGAGTTACTTAACAATTATACAATAAAAATATACGTGTATAGTATTGATCTATAAATGGATCCTAAACGTTACCATTCAATACTCTCATCGGAATATAACAAAAACAATCTTGTTCTAATCTTTGAGTTTTTCTAGTATGTTTATAAAAAACAAACACACCCATGACAGTTAATCATTCACTTTCATGTTTTTGTTTTTGTGTTGTTGAAACTATTCAATATCTCCATAGTAGTAGTAGTAGTAGTATTCTAAAGATGGAAAGTAATTCTATTTACATCATAATGATTGTATCAAAGGAAATGGTATTATGATCATATGATAATTCGTTTAATAATTACATGATTGAAATATTAGTCATTTTGTATATATGAAATTCGGTATAGAAAAGATGATTATTTCACTTTATCTCACTTGGTTAGAAATAATGATTAAAGTTTAAGTGATTCTAATAAAGATTCAATATGTCATTGATACGCATTGCATTTATATTCATATGGAGATTGTTGAGTTTAGATTAATATCATGAATGGGTTAATCTTAGACAAGCATTGAAAATATGGAAGCACTAGATGACCGTTTCGTCCTAGTGTGGAACTCCTTAGCAGTGCGCATCCATGATCCCACACCAAAGGGACTCGAACCCAGGACCTTCGGTTTCGCACGCGAACGTTTGACTTATAGACCACTGAGCCGGCATTCGATGGTGACTAGCTTCAAGATGAACTTCTTGGAGTTCTGGTCAGTAACAGTGACCAGTGGAGTTCAACCGAGTCTGTTGTGAGTCAGTTACTGACTGAAGACAATGAGTGGACGGTCGCACAGTATCGTATATTGGTTGAAGTTAACCATTAACACCATTGGATGCCAATTCAGTGCGCGAAACCGAAGGTTTTGGGTTTGAATCTCACGAGGTGAGATCGTGGATGCGCAGTGTTGAGGAGTTCCTCACTAGAACGAAACGGCCATCTAGTGCTTCCATGTTTTCAATAGTTGTCTAACATTAATCTATTCATGATATCAATCTAGGCTATTATTCTATGCAATCAACTAGAGCTGATTGAAGAAAAATATAGATTAATATTGATTAGATTAGAGTAATCAAATAGTTTATAGAAGATACTTTTATCTATATATATAAAGCAGTCATTAACATTAAATACACAGACTTTTATTAATAATGGTTGTGTTTGGTGTTCAATTTTCTGCTATGTTTCTATCTATATTTGAGTGAGAATAACTATGTAACACTTATGATTGACAAAAGAAAAATGTCATGTAGACTATCAGTTTCTATGAATGTAGCATTAACAAATAATGAAGGAAAAAAGGCTTAAATTATTGATGATAAAAGTTGTGTTTTTTTTCTGTGTTGTAATTACTTCCAATCACATGGTCATCCAATTACTATGAATTAAACACATGTTTACATACAGTGTGCCCTTCCGATGATTCTTTTTTTCTCTCTTTAATTACTCACATTTTTCTTTTCTTTTTTTTTCTGATTATCTAGAGTGGAATTTGAAGTACCCGAGAATTCGGTCTTCAGTCCAACTGACAAATCTTCACAATAGGTTAGCCACTACTCTTCATAAATATATTTATCCTTCTTTTTTTTTTAAAGTTTCAAGGGATGATAATATGAATCTATTTTCGATACTGGACTCCCTGTTCATAATAAATGTTGACTACTGGATTTTCACACTCATTCATATTGGTTGATACATATATTAATTGTACAACTATGTTCTAGAGAGAATTCAGTTAGTATATTTATTCTACAGAATAATTGTTCCTGTTTATTTAAAATATATACTTGTGAAGTCAGTGCGTGATGTCAAACGATAAATTTAACAATTTCTACCAAATTCTATACTAAAAATCCTATGAACTAACTTCGAAAGGTCATTCTTAGAGTTTTAGTGAGAACCATCGGCAAGATCAATTATGTTGGAGTCAAGCAATTTCTTTGCAATAAGATTCCACAACATTTCGAATCGATCGGACCTAGAAATATGAACCATTGGCTGTTGTCTTAATGATCCAAACGTGAAAGATTTAGTGATATAAGAAGGTCTTGGGTTCAATCTTGGATGGGATAGTGAATGAGTACCACTGAAGAGTTCCATACTCAGTCAAGTGTGCAACGTTGGACGTGGGATATGTGTACATCGGTTCAGGTTACCATATACCTCATAGAACAGTGAGGTGAAATTGTTGAGGCTTCTTTGTTTTCAATAATTTCCCTTGACTAATAACTACAAATAACCTATGCTAACAATTGTCTAGAGGGATTTAACAGATAGTATCTTAATACATTTCTAGACTTGTATGTTACTGTTGATAATAACGAACTGTGTGTTCAACACAGAGTTCCCTAAACATTTCTACTAGATGCTATATACATGTGTAAAGTACATCGTACAGTGTTGGTGATCTATTGTATACAGTTTACGTGTTCACTGTGTTCATATGATGTATCATAAGATATTTTCTCTCACTTAATTTACATATATATTTCCATCTATCTTTATGTATGCAAATGAATTGTATAATGAGTAATGTTAAAAATTTTCAATATTATTCAATTAGTTATATGGTACATTAGATCTGGTATAGATAGATATGTATCATTTCAAATTGTAATACTAAGAGGAATAGACAAAATGGAAATTAAATAGAATTAAATATTTTCACAGATTGAAATCATGAGTCAGTTGAAGCTAGACCACCATTGAAAACCTGGAAGCACTGGATGGCCGTTTCGTCCTAGTATGGGACTCCTCAGCAGTGCGCATCCATGATCTCAACCAAAAACTTAACAATCTCCACAACCCCCATACTGATAATTAACATGTGCTCACTAGTGACTAGCTTCGTGAGGGAATTCTCAGAGTTCTAGTGAGAAGCCGTGACCAGTGGAGCTAATCCATGTCGGGAAGAGACAGGTATCTACCTTAGTACAATGGAAGGTGGTCGCGCAATTTCGTGGATTGGTTGATGTTAGACACTAACACCATTGGATGCCGGCTCAGTGGCCTAATGGTTAAGTGCTCAGGCGCGAAGCCAGTGGGTCCTGGGTTCGAATCCCGCGTGGTGCGGGATCGTGGATGCGCACTGCTGAGGAGTCCCATACTAGGACAAAACGGCCGTCCAGTGTTTCCAGGTTTCTAACGGTGGTTTAACATTAATTAATTCATGAGCTCAACCAAAAAAATCATAAATAAAATAAAGAATATTTGAATGAACAATTGTTTCTGCAATCACTTCATCATCAGGCTCTACAATTATAAGTCCATAATGATTGTGATATTTTACTAAGGCCAAAAATAAGGCATGACATTAATGAATTTGACAATGTTACGTGTTAAAAATGGTGCACGTTTCCATCTGTTACGATAAATATCTATATACTTCAAAATTGTATTATTTGACAAATTAGAAAGTATATAGATATTTATCGTAACAGATGGAAACGTGCATCATTTTTAACACGTAACATTGTCAAATTCATTAATGTCATGCCTTATTTTTGGCCTTTGTAAAATATCACAATCATTATGGACTTATAATTGTAGAGCCTGATGATGAAGTGATTGCAGAAACAATTGTTCATTCAAATATTCTTTATTTTTCAATATTCTATGGGAATTTTTAAACTGCATAAATAAAATATTCAATTACTTCTAACCTTTAATTGTGTTGTTCAATTTTAATCAGTTGGAAGACTATTATCACAAATCTGATGTTATTTTGCTGATCGTAGTTTTTGTTCCTACTGTTGCTAGTGGTGGTGGTGTTGTTGTTGTTGTTGCTATGGTTGCATCAAATTAAACTCATAAATCTAGTAGCAATACAATTCTTTCTTTAATTTTTATTTTACAATTTTATTTCGATATAAGTAAAAGTGAAATCATGTTTATATCAATCAATCGTAGACTTATGATCATATGATTGTAACTTATAAAGTATGATAGATAGATTTTAACTGTTCAAATGATCTTTATTAGATTGTGGTTTTATGTGATATAACTTTGTCATGTAATCTTATGTAAATTTAGTAGATTTTTTGTTTGTTTGATGATAGATTCGTTGTTAAATAAAGGCAATATCATATGATTAAATTATGTGAGCGATAGTTAGTTGTTCAATTGTTATTACTCAATTGTTTAAGGTATACACTTGATTTAAACACCTGATAATAATCACCATATACCCACTAGTGACTACCTTCAAGAGGTATTTCATAGAGTTCTAGTGAGAAGTCATGACCAGTGGAGTTATTCAACCAGGTCTGTTGTGACATAGTAACTCACTGATGACAATGGTGGATGTGTCGCTCAGTTTCGTGGATTGGTTGAAGTTAGACATTATCACCTTTGAATACCGACTGGCTCAGTGGTCTAGTGGTTAAGCGTTCGTGCACGAGACCGATCGATCTTGTGTTCGAATCTCGAGAGGTGGGATCATAGATGCGCACTGCTGAACCAGTCCCATACTAGGGCGAAACGGTCATCCAGTGCTTCCAAGTTTTCCATGGTGGTCTAACTTTAATTGACTCATGAATTCAACTATAAAATTGATAAATACGCATTATTTTACGCTTGTATAAACCCTTTTTGATGAAGCATATATTAGAAAGAATAAATATCAAAATGCATAAAAAATACTTTGTGAGAATGTAAATCACGTATAAATTACTATTTTGATGGAGTTTTATTCTGTAAGATGGATGGTTTGGGCGTGGAGCTTTCATCGTTCTTCTTAACGACATCATCAGCACAAACTCCAGATAGAAGTGAAGTATTCGAATTTCTCCACATGTTGTTCATAGCTTGTCCTGTACACGTCGATGTTGATTGATTCTTGTTGAACTTAAACCTGTCATTGTTTACTTCTTTGTTTAAGGCCAACTAGAATTAATCAACATCGAGGTGTACAGGACAAACTGTGAACCATATGTAGAGAAATTCGAACAGTTCACTTCTGTCTGAAGTTTGTGCTGGTAATGATGTCGTTCAGAAGAATGATGAAAGCTTGATAACCAAACCAATCAGCTCAAAGAACGAAACTTCATCAAAACCATCCATCTGAGCTACCAATCTTCTCCATCATCTATAAATTACTATTAAATTAATTTGGTAATTGTGTATGTATATATAATTTATTTAGTTTATTTTAACACAGATATTGGTACAAGGAAGCACCAAATACATATACGCTACACAAATCTGATTTGATATGTGTGAGGGCTGTGATACTGCCCGGATGCCCAGACCGAAACAGGTGGTTTTCTTAGAGGGCCACACCCGTAGCCTTCGACCTGAAGGTCTGATCCACAAGGCAGTGGATCAACGTCAGGAGATGCAGTCTCATGGTAGCCGGTGACCGACGATTGGATCATACGCCATTTGTTCCCTCAGGATCCTGAAGCCCATGTGCACCATTGGTTTGGAATCAGGGTTTTCCAAGTCTCCCAGGTGGACTCTCCATATCCATCAACTCGGTTGAAGCGTCGGACACTCGCTTTTCGTCCTCTCAATTTCCTAAACAACAGTATTGTTGCGAGAAGGCAGTGAGTAGGACTTCTCTGGCAATGGTTATATACGCGTGGCCGTGTGAGAGTATTTCGAGAGGGAGAGCGGACTCTCCCCACTCTCGGCCGTACCAGAGCATTTGGGGGCGTATATATAATATAGTTAATTTCATGTTCTAATAACTGTTTTATAGAAGATATGAATGAGTGATAACCAAAGTATCAATTCATATTAATAGTAGTATATTTTTCTAATTCAGTATGCATATTTTTATGATAATAGAGATTTGAACTCAAATGACTAGTTTCATATTTTTCTATACAATATCATAATACTTATTGAAGTAGTTAAGTACGTTTATTACTCACTTCATTTATCGCATTAACTTGATCTTGTCATGGATTGAAAAATATCGCTTATATTTTCTTCGAATAGCATCAGTTTTCAGTCTGTTAAACAAAGAGCAAGTTTACTTCAAAGTGATTTGCTTTCTATTACTCTATGACTGTGTAACAGTCTCTTTTTTCTCTTTCCATTATTATTTCACTAAATTATACTCTTTAACTAACATCTTCAATCCCTAATCTTTCCGATTACTGCTTATACTCTTACCGCCTCTACCACTACGAGATTTAAATCAACAACTGCATTTCTGTGCTAATGTGGTGTGGCAACTTGAACTGATGTACATACGTACGAAGTTCTACGTTGTTACTGATTGACTGACTGTAACAGTCTTATAGAAATGAAAGTATACAACTGATTGAATGTTTTTATGAAACAGTACTTTTTTTTTCGTGAAGTAAACATGAGTGATCAATATACTATGGTTAAGTAGGAGGGTACAAAGTTAATCATTTGTTAATTAATTCCTTTAATCTCCATCGATTAAAATGGTTATATATGTCAAATCATCTACTTAGACGTGTAATACTTGATTGAAGCACAATTAAGTTGAAAAGCGATTAAAGTATATTCAAACTAGTGACATTGAATGAACCAATCAGAATTGAGATATAATATAATATAGATTTTTGAGTGAAATTAATAGTCCAATAAAAGATAACTTGTGTGTTATTATGAAGTAAGAGAATAGTTAGTTTTTATAAGGTTTGATATTAATGCAAATTATATTTTATGCAATTAAACAAAGGATAACATATTGGTTTTATTTATTTAAATACATAAACATTACAACACCACATAAATCATTCGATGTATGTCAGCGTTGGGTTA